CCCCCCCCTGATGGTGATGGGGGTCAGAGGCCTCTTCCTGCTCCGCCTGAAGTCCACCACCAGCTCCTTAGTCTTGCTGATGTTGAGCTGGAGGTGATTTTTGTCACACCAGCCTACGAAGTTCTCAACCAGGGCCCTGTACTCCTCCTCATTGTCATCTGTGATGCAGCTAACAATGGAGGAGTAGTCAGAGAACTTCTGTAGGTGGCATGAGCCGGAGTTGAAGCGGAAGTCGGAGGTGTAGAGGGTGAACAGGAATGGTGACAGCACAGTTTCTTGGGGGGCTCCGTTGTTGCTCAGCAGCACATCAGACACGCTGCCCTGCAGTCTGACATACTGAGGTCTGCTGGTGAGGTAGTCTGTGATCCAGGCCACCATGCTGTGATCCACCTGCATCACTGACAGCTTCTCAGCTAGCAGGTGTGGCTGGATCGTGTTGAAGGCGCTGGAGAAGTCGAAGAACAGAATTCTTAGTGAGCTGTGCGGCTCCTCCAGCTGCGTGTAGGCTCTGTGGAGCAGGTGATAGCATCCTCTACACCAATGTTTTCCTGGTAGGCAAACTGTTGAGGGTCCATGGAGTCACACACGAGGGGTTTGAGGTGCTGCAGAATCAGTCTCTCAAAGATCTTCATGACGTGTGAAGTCAGAGCAACAGGCCTGTAGTCTCCTGGGGTGCTGGGGCGTGTCTTTTTGGGCACCGGGACAATGCAAGACGTCTTCCAGATGTCAAGGAGAGAGCTTCAAGGAGAGACTGAAGAGGTGCTGAAAAACTCCTGCTAATTGACCGGCACAGGCCTTGAGCACTCGGGGGTTGGTGCTGTCTGGCCCCCTTGCCGACATATGTCTATGCTCTTTAAAGGTTGCGTTGAAGTTGGTTTTTGGTTTGATATTTGACAGGCATTCACTCCAGTCCTCTTCTTCAGTTTCAAAGTGGACGTTCAGAGCCCTTCCTCTTAATCAAATGGTTTCACTTGTTACAAATATATAATTATTACTGAGTTATTGTATTAGAATATCATCAACTTCCATGTCATGTGAGCCAGTGACTCAATGCAGCATAGTGTTACTAACTACACTGTAATATAAAACACTTCTCTTTATTGGATTTGAGTCCAGCTTTTTACTGTAGTAGACAAGTTGAATAAACTTTAATAAATTAAGTGTTTATGTAAGCCATTGCTTCCCAATCCATATGAGATATTATTATGGAACTAGACAAATAAGACACACCTTTTTTTATTATTGGATTTTTAGGACTTCTAAACAAATTATTGGGGGATAATCATTTTAAATATTGTTATTAAAATTACCCTACCCTAGATTTCCTCAATTTATTTCAATGTAGTCCATGTTTCACTTTATAAAAATCTGTATGTATTACAGTAACTTTTCATTTGTTTGAAGGGCTGTCTTTTCTGTAATTGACCCTCCTCCACTAGGTGAGACATTTGAAAGCATGGCGTCCACACAGCAGGATGCGGCCATATCTGACATCTCCCCAGTTCTGTTCATGACGGTTGACGGTGAACCCATGTCCTTCTTCCTGAGACCGGGTCCTGTTAAATGCAAGCTCCAGCCGCTCATTGCAGCTGGAGGAGGGATCCTGAGCAATGTGCAGCGGCCAGGGGCCATTCTGCTCATTGACCCCAAAGAAAACGGCTCTATTCCTGAAACTACTGCTCACTGGTAGGTGCTGGGCTGGGATGCCGTTCGGGAGTGTGTTATGTGAGGAGAAATACTGTTCAGCCTCTTCAGTTGACATGACCATACCATGTAAGGCAATTTCTTGGCTTTGATGGTTATTTTGAGCCATTTAATAATTAATACTTTAATAATATTTCTGCCCAACATTCACACATCTAGATCTGTAACTATGAATTATTATAGAAATGTTTATTTTTGTTTGCATGCCTCAATCTTGAATTGAGGAATCCAAAGACAGAGAAAATTGTTGATAAATTAAGGTAGGTAGAGGCTGCGTTTAAAAACAGCAAAACGATATCAACATATCAGTTCACAAACTGTCACACAATAACCACAGCCCAAGTCTAATTCATTCAGTGAAATACTCACAATGTTCCAAACATGCCTTTGCTGTCTGTCTCGCCAAACAATATTTCAATAATGAATGTAAGGCAAGGCAAGTTTATTTATATAGCACCTTTCAATACAAGGCAATTCAAAGTGCTTTAAGACATTAAGAAAATGGCATTTAAAATAAGTCATTAAAAAGAAAAGATAATAAAATAAACATTAAAAGAAAAAATACATGGATAAAAGTTACAGTGGAGTTTAAGATGTGAATAGTTCAATTAAAAGCAGCGGCAAAAAGAAAAGTCTTTAGTCTAGATTTAAAAGTAGTCAGAGTTGCAGCGGACCTGTATGGACGTAAGCATATGAACATTTTTGTTAATTGACCTTAACTGTTCACTCTTCTAAGGCTCATTGAAAATAAGGCCTACCTCTATTGGATCATTAAACAGCATTTTGTTTATTGGAAAAAACAAGAGCATTTTATTTTCATGGCTTATACATTTGTATTCATCCTTTCTAATGGCCGAGCACTTTTAGGTTTTAGCACAGTAAGCCAAATAACTATGTCGGTGATAAGGAGTGTAATTTATATTGAGAACATTGTTATTGTGTAACTATCTTTAAACATATTTAAAGCATGAAATGAAAGTGCTGTCTGTTTATTCCTCAGTTACGTGTCCACCCAGTACATTCACGACTGTATTGAGAAGGAGGAACAGCTGAATTTAGAGGACTACAGGTTAAACCCTGAAGTTGCCCCGAGACACTCTCCTAGACTCAACAAGACCCCTCGTCGTCTCTCAGGAGGTATGATGTTATGAGCTGACCTTCTTGTAAGGAGCATAGTTTACTCATAACAAGATGTAAAAAGTGTGCAGTCGTTTTGTATTAGCTTTAGCCTTTATTATCACATGAATATTCATGTCACACTGTTTATTAGTTTTACATTTACTGACAAATACTTTCGCATTCTTTCAGAAAAAGTAGGCAGGATTCCCTACACAGATGAAGATGATGCAGCCATTTGGAGTTATGTCAGCAAGTCCCAGAAAGAGGTTGGGGGGAACCGGCTTTGGCAAGAGATGGAGAACCAGCTTGTGACCAATCACACCTGGCAGTCAATGAAAAGCCACTATAAAGTGCACCTGGCAAATAAACAACCTGAGGTTTTGGAGGTGAAAGCAGAGGAAGCCACAAAATCAGTAGAGGGTGATTTTAAGGTAATTTACTTTGAAGATATTTAGATATATATTTCTCTGTATAACTATATTTCTTTCAGAATGTACATAAGAGGCAGTTTTAAATACAGTACTACTGTCCAACAGCCTAAACCTATTCAATGCAACAGTCCTGAAATATACCCAACATTATTGAACCTTTTAATGTTCAGGTTTGGTTGGCAGGCTGTCAATAGAGGTGTTTATCTTTGTAGTGGTCTATTGTTCTACAGAATATTGAAAGATGATTTTATTGAGTAGATGAGTAAATGTATCTTTCATGTATGGTAATTCATTTGAGCAATATATGAGTCATACCAGGGACAATTCTGGTGTTATTACAGGGAGGGTGTGAGCATTTTATTGAACATTCATTGGACATGAGGGCTGTCATGATTTCAACGTTTCTCCGCAAAGTTACAAAGATACAAAAAATAATGTTCATGTTACATCATATCACCACCATTTAGTGCGACAATGTATTGAAAACAATTTTTTTATGTAAAATGGTCAAATGAACTCCAAAGTTGGCTGTAGGTCAGAATCAGAATCAGAAACAGGTTTATTACCAGCTAGATTGACACGTACGAGGACTTTGACTTGGTGTTGTGGTGCATACATAAAAGTAAAACAAAAATGTAAAACACAGATAGGTGCTAGTATATTTGTTCATAATATCAGCGGTGGTGCCAAAAAAACTTTAACATTTTCAAAGTAACAGAGTAATCATAAAACACGTTCACATAATGCCACCTTCTTTCTTTTTAACTCACTGCCTGCAACCAACACCACAGTTAAAACATTTAGTAGGGTTGAATGTGATTTGTAGGGACTGTGTATGGGATTTGGTGTCATCTATTTTTGCAGTTGCAAATTGTACCCCCACACACCCCTCCTTTAACCACACTAAGGTAAAGAGTTGTCAATTGAAGTGCCATGGTAACACCTGGGTATCTTTTTACTTCACTGTTAGCTTACAGTTTTATTATTACGCTGCTGTGTTTATTTTTGCCACTCTGGCACAACAATTTCCTTTGGGATAAATAAAGTCCTATCTTATCTAATCTTTATGTCTTTAGACACCATCCCTAGAATAACACTACTTTAGAAGCAGTTTAACAAGCGTGTCTAAGAATTACGAGAACATTAAGGTCATGTAAAAACAGAAAAGATCTTCTCTAGAGCCAGAGTTTGGTTTGTGTGTTCAGAGCTACTGCAAAAACATTTCAGACCCTGTGAAAAGGACCCCCTCCCTGCACAGATATGAAGGACTCACTCTAAGCTAACACAAACACAACAGTTCTTTGTTTCAGGCGATTATACACGAATGAAAGCATTAATGTTATATTCCATTTCTGCTAATCATACCCCCTAAATACTACACACTGGCCCCTTGATAAGCAATTTAAATGACTTGAACTGAACACAACAGATTTGGTGTCTCAACAGATAGATGCCCAGCCCATGCCAGCTGAAGACACACAACCAGAATCTCCAAAATCCATCTCTCCCAAAAAAAAAGTCCAACTTGCGAATCCACAATCTGATGAGCAACCAGCTGAAAGCACACTAGTAGAGATGGTAGAAGGTGAAACTTCTAACCCCCCCGAAGCCGAGGGACCTTGGTTGGACCCACACACAGATGCTCAGCCCATCCAAGATGAGAGCACGGAAACAATCATCTCTCCTGAGAAAGAAATGGTGCCAGAGGACTCTCCTCCAGCTCGGCCCGAGTCCCAGCCAGACACCCCTCTTCAGAAAAAGCCTAAAGAGAAACAGAAGGCCTCCCCAAAGCCCCAACAACCTCAGAGACGACCAACACGCTGGCATCTTGTGCTGGAGGGGTCGCCTGAACCATATGGTAAAAAACTCAGATCAGCAGCTCCTTCAAGACGATATGGATCATCCCCGCAGCTCTCGAAGAAAAGTGAATCTCCCACTAAGTCTTCTCCTAAGAAAGACAAAATGGTGGAGCAGCCGCCTTCAAAGAAAGCCAGAGGAAGCAGTGTGCCAGAGGAACCGCAGGAGGAGAGCACACAAGCTCCTGTTTCTGAAACAGCACCAACAGGTGTGTTATACGTCTCCCAGTGTGGGACCAATCATTATAGCTTTTATGTAATAGATTATCTTCACTTCTCTAATTTGTCCACCTCCAATGATATGTTGCAGATGCAGAGTCTAATTCAGTGCCACAGGAAGTGGAGAAGAAAAAAGAAAAGAGAAAGTTGGGGATTTTAGAGTTGGCTATAAAGGAGTTTGAAGATGAAAGTGAGGTAAGACAAAACCAATTCATAATGAATGAAAATGGCTTGTCACGAGGTTGCTTTTCGATCAAGGAATCCTTGAATTGTATCGGCTGATGTTATCCTTTTCTTCATCACCTCCAAAAAAAACATACTCCCCATGAAAGAATCCTTAGTTATGGTTTATTTAATTAAACCGTTGTGTTCCTGTCTCTCAGTCGGATGAGGATGTAGCTCCAGACCTCCGAAACCCATCCGAAACACCAACGATACAACCCCCCGCGACAGCTGAGGGGGTCCGCTCCTCCTCCAAAGCCCACCTGTTCATATTCAACAGTGAAACTCAGGAGGAGGAAGACTCTCAGTCTGTCATTGGTCCCAGCAGAGAAGCTCCATCCCGACCAGAGGCAGCGGTGAACAAAGATGCTGCCTTTTCCCTGACTCAGGTCCAGCTGGAGGAGGACAAGCAGCGAATCAAAAAGCTGATGAAGCAGACCGGCCAGGTGAGGACTAGGGATGGGTATCGTTTGAAATGTATCGATTCCGGTTCTGCTTATCGATTCCGGTTCTTATCGATTCCCCGTTTCGATTCCAAAATTGTAAAAGAAAGAGGTCAAACGTTTAGATAACAAAAATATCTTTATTCTTTTAAGCTTTAACTAAAACAATTACAAATAAAAAATATCCATACAATACAAATGTATTACACAATAGCAATGCTTTATTTGAACTGAGCTATGCCTGTGACAAGCTATTAACAGGCGTTACACTGTGCCTTGTCTTTTTCTTTTTTAGTGTAGTGGAGCCTCACTTTAGAGCGTTTACCGCGATCCATCTTTGGTGTTATGAAGTGACTTAGCACCGGCAGGGGGAGCCTCGCTGCGGGGCAACTGTGGACCTCTGTCGCCTGTCAGCGCAACTTACATGATGCCGTTTAAAAAAATGAAGGGCGATGCCGCCGCCAGCGTACCGAGCCGGCCGGCCATTCTGTGATTCTCCAGAACACACAGATGTCCAGTCCGCCCTTACCCTGTATTCCACCGGCTCGCCGCGGCGCAGACGGACCCGGTGGAATACACAGTCTACCGCGTTTAGGAACCGTTAAGCAGAACCAAAATTGTGTATTTTGTACGGGTACCCGACATTTTCTTATCGGTTCTCATCTGGAACAGAGTTTCGGTTCCCAACCCTAGTGAGGGCTGATGATGCAATGGGAATGGGAAATGAACTGCATTTGTTGTAGCGCTTTGCGACCATTCAAAGCGCCTTTACACATACGAGTCACCATTCACCCATAAACACATTCACACACATCTCACAACATTGGCAATTTGGTCTTAAATTTCTTGCCCAAGGATACATCAACATGTTGACTGCAGTGGCTGGAAGGAGCAGCACACCCAGAAAAAGCCCCCTGTCCGCAAGTGATTGAAAACAAAACCATTTATTGATTTCTAATGCCAACGCTTGTGTCTTGATAATGCTTTTAAGTTTTTTTTTCATATAGCTGATTCTAATATACTGGATAATATAACTTTTCGAAGCAAATATTGATATATGCAATTCATTTAGATGAATGTCCCAAAGCATATCATTATTGAATACATGTTATAAATCGCAGCAACACAACAGCATTAATTATAAGTAAAAGTGACGAATCGCACCAATATGTTCATTGTGTCATGTGATCGTGTAGGTTACATTGCATTTAATTTAATTTAGGTGGCGCTTTTATCCAAAGCTACTCAATAAGTGTGTAGACCTGATGCATGTTCAAAATGCTTAAGAAAAAAAACTGGATTTGGCTGTCAGTGAATTTGACAACTTATTTATTTTGTATATATTTTGGGCATTTCTGAACTCCCCCAACTATTTTTATTCCAGGACTTGATCAGTGTGACCAAAGCCCTGTTGAGGACCAGCGGGGACTTCTCTGCTGCTCTGGAGCACCTTTTGAACCCCTCCTCCGCTTGGGGACCCCTGTGGTGTCGAAGTGACGACGGTCTCTTGCTCTCAGGTGATCCCGGGGCCCGACAGAAGCTGCAGGAGAAATACAGCGAGGAGGGCGTGGCCAAAAGAGTCGTGTTCCTCGAGGTAGAGAGGTGACAGTGCTGGAAGGAACTCTTGTGGTGGCAGATAAATACAAAAATCAGTTTGAAATAAGCATTTACCAAAAAGCACAAGTTAAGATAATAAAATGAATGTTGGAATTATTTCATTTAGTAAGGGTCCTGGTATTGTGCATGCATCACTCACTAAAAAACTCTAACAGCAAAGAACCATTGTGTTATCAGTAACACCTGCAGATAAGATTTCTGTAAAGAGTTGCTGAACTGACTTTACTACATTAATGACTGCAGCCAAGTTCACACACTTCAGCAAAATGAAAAGCACAGATTAAAGTTAGAGGACTTTTTGTTTATCTTCGCTGAACTACATTGTAGTAATTAGATTACGGATATCACTTTTCAAGTATTATAACCTTGAATCTTCTACTGATGAACAATAAAACCACACAGTCTCTACATTCATATGCACTTTTTCACAGAGCATTAAAGTATATTATAATGGCATGGAAACCTCTTCAATCTTTTTGAATGAGTGAAAAGAATTAAGAAAAAAACACAGCCTTGATTTTTCTTTTCCAAACCACAATTTTATTTCATTTCCCCCCAAAAAACAATTGAGTACATTCATAATTTTGAAACAATCTGCCCCAAACCCACATGAAAACATTTTATGAATAGTTTAAACAAAATAATGAGAAATAAAACTATTAAATTAAAGCAGACCAAACAGGATGCTTCCTGTAATGCAAATGAAACACAAAGACCAGAGTCCATACAGATGTACCCTAATATGGCCACAAGTATTGCTGCACCTTGAATCTCCTGTTCATGAAATAAAAGACCTCAGAAAAAGAATGACTTATAACAGCAAACAGGTATGCCATGAACATATACAACTGTTAGTTGAAACAACCGTTAACACAACCGTGTATTCCTAGCGCACGCTGATAAAAACCAATTGCATTAAAAAACATTTTTAATATGAAACATTCACTCTGACCTAAGTCACATACATCTAGGCCGCACACTGTAAGTCGGTCAGGTAAGAACCCATTTAGTAAAGCAACCCATACCAAGGTCTCCAAATCACAGCACACCATATATCCCTGGATTTAAACAGCTACATGGTTTTTGCTCAGCTTTTACATGTGAGGTCTTTAGAAGATGCCTCCAATCAAGCTACATTCATTAAGGAGGGTTGCTACAATTATGCCGACTGCATGTCGTTTGAATGTGACCTGATCTGAGAGAAGTAAATGGAGACGATGCACTTAATGCAAGACTTGTTGCAAGAAGTTTGAAAACACACGTGTGGTGGTATGCATGGACAAACACTGAGAGTTAGTAGGATTTATAGCTTGATATATGTCTCTGTCCTTTCACTGTACACTTTGCTTTGGTTGGCTGGTTAGTGTGATGGTGGTGTGAGCTCCAATTTTAACGAGGAAGAGCGAACTGTGTTGCTGTTTATGGAAGACACAGACATTGAATCAATACACATGCCTTTGATGTTGATAAAAAGAACAGTAGTGATAACAGAATGGCTCTTTGTTATTTATCAGGCTGGTTTTACATCAACTCATAAGAGGATATGAAGGATCTCCATGAGTGAGACACTTCCTTACTCTTGTCTTATGTAGTTAGTTTTTATTATGGGTGATCTGATATGGTCAATAATTGACAGAATCGTCTGTTTAATAATGTTTCAAAATCAATAAAAGCAGAGTATGGTGACAATAACACACTTTTTGGTTAACAGAATAATTAGGAAAAACAGTGACAAATACATTATATGTTACAAATATAATTATTATTGATTAGGCTTGACGCAAAGTCTGCATTGCAGCTATTACGTTAAAAAAAGAAAGTTAAAAAAAAAAAAAAGACTCATAGCTCCCTTTCTCCACACAAACATGCTGAAACAACAAAAGGCCTGCGTTTTAACATTCTGATCTGTAAAACTTCAGTATAGAAGTAGCACTTATTCTTTGATCCAGCAAACCGTACATTATAATACAAAGAGGTGATAAAAAGATCACTTATGTCCCCATGCTTCGATCGCTTGCTACGCTTAACCTGTGGGAGCATTGAGAAGAGAAATCGTGAGACTTCTCGCTCTGTTGCAAAGTGTTTGTGATGAATAAAAAGGCCTCTGGGGTATACGATCACATGCCTACAGCTTGTTATGTACAGTCTTGACACTTTTAGCCCCAATTCAGGAGAGCCAAAGCAGGATGTACAACCCGTCTGGAACAGAGTCCCCTGCAGGACAGCAGAAGACAGCTCATAATCAAAACACACATACACAACAGGTTCATCTAAATAAAAAAAAAAGAAGATGTCAGGAGATGATGTATCCTTTGGTTTTTCTTATGACGTTTGAGGGCATTGTTTGGCTTTGATAACTCACATTAGATTTACTTTATAAAATATATTGGACTTTAGCCGTTTAAAATAACATTATGTGATGCACAATACACGTTGATCAGAGTACATCAGAATCAAGACAGTGACCTGCGCGTTTCAGAAGTAGGGACATCTGGCAGATGTTGATAATTATAGTCCTTTAAAAAAAACAAAAAGATGAATTGTCCCTTGTTGAGGGGGCACTGTTCCAGTTTTAACTTTTGATATCCATGAAAAACAAAGTCCCATACTAAGGTAACTTCACGCTCAAACACACGCACAAAAATAACAAATACATTTCAAAGTAATACATAGAAAACCCCTGCTTTGCTTTGAAAGGCGAATCGTAGTGGAGAGGAACGGTACAAGCCAGTCCAAAAATAAGGCCGGCTAAATTGCATAGAACTTCAGTAGTGCTCTAAAGCTTCAAAGGACTGTGCTCCTTTCCTCTGTCGACTTTGGCAGCTCTGCAGAGTTCCCTCAGAAACCGACAGCACTCCCACACCATTCTCTCCACTCCTTGCTCTGTCTCCTTGGCAGAAGACACTTAAACCCCAAACAGTTTAATCTGGATTGCAAGCAAAATATATAAATAAAACATAACAAATAAATCTAAAGATGGATGTTTCTTTTTTGTGAATGCTATGTGGAGGAGCACAATATGTACTATTTTCATTTCCTTTATAATAAAAGGACATTAATAGGGTAAGAACTTGTACAAAATACTTCTCAGCCAGTTTAAAATCTTAGAGAATTGTTTTTCTCTCCCCTTAAATGAAGTGAAGCTCTGGACAAGGATCCAGCGAGGCAGCAGTGAGGAAGAGAGCACAGCTCGGACTTTATTTGCACCCTTTCTTTATGTGAAGCAAAGACAACCCCCTCCCCCCCCCCACCACTTCCTAAACAACAGATATAGTATAAAAGCACCAGTTCTGAGTCTGCGTCAGTAAGCACCACCATCAGAACTTCAAAAGGTCCAACAGGCCCAGATGTAGGCTGCTTCACCTCTAGCAGGGTTTAGCTCTATACACATTTGACCCCTGTGACGATGAGTGGCGTTCAGGAAGAGACGGGACAACGCCCTACCGTGCATCAACTAACGGGGACTTCAGGCTCTGCGTCCTTGTCCAAGATCTCGTCCTGGATCTCGTCTGTGTTCCCTGAGTCGCTGCTGGCCACAGAGCTGACGGAGGGAGAGTTCCTGCCGCCTTTAATCATCCGCCGACAGCTCTCCATCTGCACATCCAGGCCTCTCTTCATGCTGCACATGTCCATGTACTCGTGCAAATGTCGGTTCATGTCACTCTTGGCTGTGGCCAATTCAAACTAAAGTAAGGGGAAAGGTTTAAAAAGAGTTAGCATGTAAGAGAGGGGGTAGAAAATACTGGTGTTTGGGAGGAGGATAGACTGAAGCGATGCCTTTCGTGGCTTTACCCCTGGTTTCCACACAGTGTTGTTGGGAGTACGTAATGACGTTCAAGGAATGCATTTGTTTACGGATTTATAAAATAAAAAAACACCACCCCAAAGATAGAAAAAAAGGCTATGCTCACTATACACATGCCATACAATTTGAACATAGACATAACTGAATGTAATGACCTTAACCCTACATATTTATCTATATTCCACATAATGAATATATATACATATATATATATATATATACTTTTTTAGCAGTCAGTTTAGTAACATGATGATGACATGAACACATCAGTTGTCAATCAACCTTTTTTTTAACTACCAAGTCAACTTTAAAAAACATTTCAATGTTTTCCATGTTTCTTTACATGGCAATGTGGGAAAATAATGTCCAACAATCACTAATTGTTTACGTTTTTTTAATACGTCTTATTCAGGCTTTGTGCCCACAAGGCCTTTTTTTTTTCAACACACGCACACACACTACCTCGATCTCGCCGATGGTTTCCTGGTACTGCTCCTCTCTGGTCTTAAAGAGGGACTCTGTTTGATCAATCAGGCTGCCAAGACTTCCATCCTGGGAGTCCTTGGAGAGCATAGACAGAAGTTTCATACATCATGCATGAGTAAATGTCTGACACAGCACCCTGCATTAGTTTAAAAAAACATGTACTGTGCAAAAGGTCCATGAATGCAGACAGGACTTACTGGCTCAGCCACTTCACCGTTTCCATTGGAGCAGCTGGCGGTTGTGCCGGGTGTTGGAGTAAAGGCGCTCGGCACGTTGTAGTTTGTGAAGTCCTCCCACAGCAACAGGGTCTCCTCGTTTTCCTCCCACGTCAGACTGTCGCAGTCGTCGTCTATATCAAACGTCTCGCGCCTGGCAACAAAGGAGTTATCTGAATGTCTGCATAGGGACAAAGACAGAGAACGGAAAGAACAGGAGGAAGAGAGGAAAGACAAAGTATAACGGCCCACAGATTCAGCAGAGGACACAAGCAAAGAGGAGGATGCGCTTACTAAGAAGACAAAGACATGGAAGGAAGAGTTTACGGAAACACAGAGCAGTCACTTTCTTTTTGAAAATATTTAGAGGTCAAAATGGCCAATGTTGGTCATAGTGTAAACCATTAGGGAGCATCCAAACAAAACTAACATGACTTTAACAAAGCAAATGAATGTTCATAATATTTGTATCTGCTGGTTTCAGCTATATCTGCATAGTGTACTCTGTGATACTCTATACATGCACTAGAGGGAGATGAAGGAGTTCACAGTGCTTCATCAAAACATCATCTTTGCTGGTGTGGTGTTGCTGCAGCTAAGGTTCTTTAGAGCAGAGAGCATGGGTTTTCTGGGTCTGTGTGCATTGTTGCTGCATGTATGTGTGTCTGAGTGTGTTGCTCACAGCTGGTTGAGCATGCGTTTCATTTCGTCCGTGATGTTGAGCGACCCGGGGCCGTCCTCCTCTGAAGGGCTCGGCTCTGCATCCATCTCTGACATCTCCTCGTCAGACGTGGCTTTAAGTTCCTTCCTCCTGCAGCTGGCCCCGGCACCCTGAGACACACAAATAGTTTATCAAAAAAATGTGCCTGCTGATGTAAACTACTGATGCCTAATCATCATCGGTAGAGGTGTGAGTCTTTCGGTATTTCCATTTTAAATCTTGGAGTCATGATTCAATTCAGAATTGATTTTCGATTCAGCTCATTTCAGGATCTACTTTAGTCTGTTGTGCACCTAAAGGCGGCGTGGCAAGAAAGCAGAGTAAAGATTTTCTTTAATTGACTTAAGTTCTAATTTAATAAAGAATCTAACCACTAATTCATCAGCACTCAATTAAGTATATTTCTGAATGGTGGGCAAGAAGGAGTTCTACTTTCTGCCTTTTTTTAATTTATTATTCTACAGATGAGACACTTCTTGTGTGTAATCCTTAATAAACACTGTAGATATGAGAAGCCTGACTGAAAATAGGAATATACCTGTATAACGTTTAAATTAAGAGAAGCCACCAGCTTGATTCACGGTGAATTTACAGTATACTCAGGCTCTAGCTAGCCCTGTCCGCGTAGTGCAGCAAAGATTATCCACATTTCACTGTGTGTATGTGCATGCATATATGTAACAGTAACTACTATAACTATTGTGTATGTTTGTGTGCGTGTTTCCGATTTTTGGGTCACTGAGTTTATTACCAGCCGGGGGGAAAGAAAACGACACACTATACAGATTCAGCCCCTGGCAGCTCTGGTTTCATTAACAGAGTGCTGACTGTTGTCTTCACAAGATAATTCATATTTCTCCTGAGATAACTGTCAAACAGTGAAACAGCAGATGTATACCCACCCTCTCCGGCAGCGACCGGGCCGGACTGACGTTGAACATCATCGACATGTCCTCTGAGTTGCGTTGCTGGGCCACATCGCACAGTTTGGCCGTGATGTCGATCCTCCTGCAGATGTCCATGTCTACTCGCCGGGCTTTCTCGTGGATCTTGGTGTCCAGGTCAGACATTTGCTGCGTGAGTTAGGACAGATGTGTTAAATGCCATGTGTCAGACACCTTCTCACCACATGCACACGTACAGGGCGTAAAGTGGATTTACTGCCGTACTGATTTACTCATATTGACCGCCTTCAGTTGATCGTACTGGTCACCAACAAATTGAGTGTTTGTAAAATAATCTCCATTTGAGTTTTTTTTTTGCAGTTCTAAAAAAGTATTTGAAAGCCAATGAATTAATGTCATATACAGTATTTAGTATCTTAATGTTTACCTTTAATATCATGTTTACGTTTTTTAAACCCTTTTTTAAGAGTTAATTTTGCGTTCATGTTTACAATGCATCTTTGTAATATAATTCAAATTAGCATTTTTATTCATAACATAATAATGGCCTTTTCGTTTAACTCACGCTTTGAGAAGTTTGTGTTATCTGTTTTGACCGTTACTGCTACTCATTTTGCCCAGGAACAAAAAAAACTTAAGGTTGAAGAAGTTACTTACTTACACTACACTGGTTTGCATTATTCAATATGCAATAGGGCTGCAACTCACACATACTACTCTATTGATTTGTCCTATTTT